TTGCTTGTGTTTTTACTGTATATGCACTCATTCCACCAACAAATCACTCAAGGAACTCAGTGGGAATCATATCAGAAGACAAAATAATGTGAAATAAAAATGTTATTCTTAAATTAAAGAATATAAGTCTATTATTACAGAATCACAGAAGAGTGGAAGGGTCCATTGGGTCCAATCTACTGCTCAGTGCAGGATTCCAGGTTAACTCATTCCAAGTTAAATCACATTAAAAAGCATCAAAATATAATAGCTTTTCAATGGGCTTCTGGGTGCTCTTGATTATTGTTCCATGACTTGAGGACTGCGCCCTACGTAACTCCATGGGCCATCTGGGATGGAATTAGTATTGGAATTCCTGCTATCATAGAAGGGTGGATACCTTAGAAATTCAGTGGAATGTGGTGGAAAATAAAAGCTGTGCTTCTATCATGGCAGACACAATTCCTAAATGCAATGCATCATTTGAATTGGAACGTAAGATTGCTTTCAGAGATTTTTTTTTGAATTTTACCCCCAAATATAGTACAGAATGGACTAGATTCTGAAAAAGACTTGCAATCTGCAAAAGAAAAAGAAAAGGAAACATAAGCAACAATATAGTGTTTCCTTTGTTTATGGAACTGCTCACATGAAAAGCTTCAATGAAAATTTAATTTGACTCATAACTTGTTCATGCATTTTTTTAAAAAAAATGGAGTTGTGTAATGCTATTTGAGATTGAACATATGGGTATTAAATCATTTCCCATATACTGCTTGGAAAGGCCACACTCAGCATAGTTTACACAGTTTATAAATGTTTCTACAAATTTATGTTTCCTCTTACACTGACACTTGCTGATGGGCTATAAAACAGCCTATAAATAACAACTGAAGATTGTGAGTTTTAAGAATAATTTACTGCCCAATACAAGCACTCTCACATCCATTGATTCATATTATTTCACCAAACCATTTCCTATGCCCAAATTGTCAATCCTAGTCAGAAATTAGTGCGATATTGGGGGCAGTACTGTAGCCCCCCTGGACTGAGAGGTAACTCTTTTTCCTTAATCTTGAATTCTGATGAGTTATATAATCAACTTAACACCACACTCAGTGAAACAGCACTGAAACTAATGTCATATGGAAACAAAACCTGAGTTACCACTTATGGACCCAATTAATATGAACATTCCCTACCGGAACCTTATTTATTTTATTAGTTATATTTTTAATCCAGCAAAATGTTCCTCAAGTAGATGAGAAACAGTTAAAAGACTAAAATGCCATAAAAAGAATATAAAATATAATACTGCAGAGATATTTAAAAGAATATAATATAATAACAGAGCAACAAACAGTGCAAGAATAAGTAAAACAGCTATAAATTTGGTCTCCAATATGCCTGGGAGAATAGAAATATCTTTCCCTGGCTCCATGAATATACACATCCAGGCTCCAGGGATACCTCTTTGGGCATGTCATTGCACTGGTGTGAAGCTTCAACTGAGAAGGTCCTTCAGTGGCCATATGAGAGGAACCTTTCTTGCTGGACTTAAAATGCAGGCAGGCTGGTATGGGGGGTCTCCATGTAATTCGGTCCCAAACCACATAAGGTGTCAAAGTCTGACACCAAGGCTCAGCAATGGACCAGCATTCAGTGTAGTTGATGAAACACTGGATCATATCAGCCAGTACCAATTAGTAACCTGGTGGCTCTATTTTGACCTAACTTCAGTTTCTGAACCATCTTGAAAGGGAGATCACCATACAGTTGCCAGATTGTGGTAATCAGACTATCTGAAGGGTCATAGCTGGTATATCTAAGCTAATAAAAGGCACTCCTGGCCATCGAGACCACCAAGACCTCCTGGAACTCAAGGATCAATGAAGGATTCAAGCTACACGACTGATCTCTTAAGGGGAGTGCAACACCCCTCTAGGACAGGTAAACTTCCTTCTAACAGTACTTCTGTTTTGTTGGAGCTTCATTTTCTTGATCCTCATCGAATCCATAACCTTGCTCAAGTGTTGAGTTAGTACAGCTACTGCTTCACCTAAGTTTCGTAAACAGCAGTCAGGCAATTCTCCTGGAGTTCCACAAAGTATGGGAGATCTAACTGAGCTCCATGGAACCCTATAATTGCCATAGAACAAAGCAATTGTCCCCCAACATCATCTCTGGAAATTAACCATCCAAATAGGAACAGAACCGCCCCCTTCTCCCAAACCAGACAGTCACTCTAGAAGGACACCATGGCTGATAAGATCAAAAGCTGCTGATAGAGCTAACAGAACTAACAGGGTCATACTCCCCTCTTCAGAAGCAGGCCTAGGTAGATTAGAAAATCAGTTCCATCCGAAGATGCCTGGAGCTGATCAGGTACCAGAGGCTTAAGCACCCTGCTCAAGAAGGAAAGCTAGCAATTGCCTTCTAGTTGCTTTCCACTTCTGGGTCCAGACGAGGCTTCTTCAAGAGTGGCACAACTGCAGCCTCTCTAAGGATGCTGGTACTTTCCCACTCTCAAGGAGAAATTTATAGCATCCTGAACCCAGCCAACCATTCCTTCCTTACTAGATGTTACAAGCCAAGATAGTATACAAGCCATCCAAACACCTTAAGCACAAAACTCTGCTGGATCCTATGCAAGCCACAAAAGAATGCCTATGGGCCAGCTTTCTGTCCCTTGGGTATCATGGCTTGGAGTGATGGCCGCACTGATCAACCTGTCCTGGCTTTGACTACAAGGTGTTAGTCACACTCTGCTGAAAGTCCGCATGGGACAATTTCTGGCAAGAAAGAAATACACTGGTGAGGATGCATGAGTGGGTGAAAGGCTGAAGAACATCTAAATTTCAAGAGGTAGTGTTCTGTCCACGACAAATGCACAGAAGTTAAATCCACCTATTTTGGAGCACTGTCTTTCTGCCTATGGACATATGAAAAATTAGTTTCAGTTTCTGATCAGGACTTACTGAGTTCCACCATCTTCAGTTTGGTGAAGCGTGAGTCTTCTTGATTCACCCATCCGTATCCTTGCTCAACTGAGAAACAAATTCCAGAGTGTGACCTCTTGCATGTGTTAGACTAGTGAGAAGTTGAGACAGCCCCATGGCTGTTATGGTGTCAATAAAATCCTGAGCCACACTCGACTGGATAGTCTTCACATGGATACTGAGATTACCCAGGACTATGCCTGAAAGCTCAAGTGGGGAGACTGCTGGACAATTAATTAGGTAGTCCACCAGCACAATCCTTAACTTGCATTGAGCTCCAGCATCATCCACTTTTTTCAGAAATGCGGTGCTATTATCCCAGTCAAATCAAACAATCAGTCCCACATTGACAATTCCATACCAGTTCCATACCTCTGAAAATACCCAGCAAGATATGATAGCTGAAGCACCCTTTTTACTACTGCATCCTTTTCCACTGTTGATACTAAGGTCATATATCATCCTTGCTGATCTGATAAAAATGCTTACTACTTTAGGCACTCTCGTTTAATATTAGATCAACTAAACCTTCTGTCAACAGAATGTATTATATTACCTTCCTGTTTTCAGCTTATTCCTTCATCAAATTTCATAGTACCTTGTTGATCTGACTATATCTGTTGCCTCGTTCCCATCCCTACTCCAGCTTTCCTGGCTTGCACTGCAATATAGTCAATCTTTTAAAGCTGATGGTTGACCCACATTTATTTCCCCAGTTTAAAAAGTAATACTGTATATTTGTACTCTGTAACTGGCACAGAAGCAAAATTAAATGCATGTATAATATCAGGCTGCTGTTTCCCTTGTTCCCTATGCTTATTACTCTGTTTGTGACCTTCTTAATGAAATAAATTGTCCTTTTCTTGACCATTCATTTATTATCCATCAACCACACCATAGCGTATGACCGAACAACAGGAGCAATCTCTCTGGGTTTCAGGAGGTAACTGTGCAGGCAGTTCCACAGCTGTTTTTTAGGAGTCACAAGGTGACTTAGGGGAAAATATCTATTTGGACTCAACAAGTTCTGATAATGTGTTGGGTCCCCCTTTCAGGATGCCAGCAGGAGCAGCCCCTGAGCAGATGTCTGCTCAGAACACTCCAACTGAAACAAGGGGCAGCTGACATTAATTCACTGCAGCCACCAGTGACGTCTCTTCCACTGGTTCTCAGGGAATTCCAGTTCTCTGTAGCTGGCCTCCTAAAACTTTTGAAATCCTGCGAAAATGCCATGATTGAGACCCTGAATGTAAAGGTAGTAGGAGAACATGTTCTCTGAAGAGGCTTATGGATTTCTGAACTTAGGTGTGCAATCATTTTTAATGCACCTTTTAATACTTGGCCTATCATACCTGCAGAGGTGCAGAGGTGAAGCAGAGGCCTGAATAGTTTTGCCATGTCTGTTATTTCATGAAAAGGGCTCAAAATCCTTCTCTGTGGGAGGAAAGCACTTGACATTCAAGAACTTGAAAAGTTAGACACCATGTCAAAATTTGTTTTTAAAATGTACAACTATAAAATTAAGATTTCATTTTAAAATCAGTGTTAATGACTCCCAAACAACAAATCTGTAGACTGACGCAGCCATGTCTTTGTTTGGCACCAGACAATTAGTAGTGGTTAAATAAAACACATGGGATTAATTTTCTAGAACACGGGATAAAATCATAGAATAATAATCTAAAGAGACATGTCAATTTTGGTGGGGATTTAATCATCCATGAGCTGTGGACAGATTGAGACAGATTCAAGGGAGTAGCTCAGGGAGTGATGGCAACAAGAATTTGGTTGCCATGAGCATTCATGCAAATAGGTCGATCCATGGTGGAACTGCACAAGACGAAGACATTCCCACAAGACGAAGACATTCCAAGAGTTGGTTATTCTTTGTGGGGTGCCTCCAAGAACCACCACTTTCTTCAGCTTGCCTGAATACATTTTGTAAAACCTTCTTTCAGATTCATTGCAACGTGGCAAACATCAGCCTCTGAAATAAAGGGCTCAGACTTCAAAGCAAATTACCTTCTCTTGATACTGACGCCGTGATGAATCCAAAGACTGAATCAGTGCTGTAGCATGACCCACAAACATGGCGTAACAGGTGGCGCCCACAATCATACTTAGCATGGTTATCCAGAGGTCTGACATGCTGACAGGGGCCCTGGCTCCATAACCGATGCAAAGCATGTGGCTCATGGCTTTGAAGAGTGCATAAGAGTATTGCTTTCCCCAGGAATCATTCTGCAAGAGAGGGGCAAGAGAGAAAGAAAAGGCTTAATTCAGCTGGAGTACAGGGGACAAAGGAGTCTAGGATTATGTAACAGGAAGATAACAGCTTATTTATCGTGAAGGAACATCCTTGTAATATACTTTTCATAAATTGAAAGGCCACCTTCATTATCAGTAAATGAACCTAAATAAGCTCTTTGAGAAGCTGTCAGTTGCCTTTATAATCAAACAAAATGCTGATCCACACAGTGGACTCCCCTCCCAAAGCTGTATTTTGAAGTTCAGGAGGAAGGAGGGAGGAAGGAGGAAAGAGGGAGCGAGGAGGGAGGGAAGAAGATCTGTGAAGCTATACAGTTATTTATACTATTGTATACATATAAGTACTATGACCTTAGCCTATGAAATCTTAGCCAAGGACAGGCAACCTGATTTTGGACCACAGTTCTCATAATTACCATCCACTAGCCATGCTGGGTGGTATCTCTGGGTGTTAGTTCTAAATATGTGGACTTCAAAACATCTAGCTTTCCAGAATATGTATTATGATAAGCATGTAGCACATAAGTCAAGGTTAGTGTTGCATTTATTCTAGTTTGATTTGTCATGGAATCATACCCTGGAAGGGGGGAATTACCCTCCTCATTGTTGCCCATCCCTACTTTAAGGTTTAAACATGCACTTTCAATTGGATTCAGAAACACACCAGCAGCCAGAGCAGTATAGGTGCCACCTGTTGAATGCATTGCCCCAGCACCTGAGCAGCTGTATCTTGCAATTGCTGAAGTTTCTTAACTGTCTTCCAAGGCAGCCCCATACTGAATGCATTGAACTAGTTTAGCCTGTATGCCATTAGCACATGGATAGCAGGGCAAGGAAAGCTATGCCAAGTCTAGCCTCAGCAGAGAGGTGCATAGCTGGCATACCAACCTTAACTGGCAACACTTTCTCCTGACTTCTGCAACAACTCGAGATTCTGCAGTTAGTTCAGAGTCCAGGAAGATGCAAAAGCAGTTAATGAAGCATACTGAAATCCCATGAAACAGCAGTTGTACATTTCATACAGGTGATCTGTTTTCATACTCAAAATATATCAACAATTTCTACCCCAAAACTACTCCAGACTCTGGTTCAACAGTTCTGTAACCTACCTGGGCTAAGGAGATGGAATTGAGAGGTAGACTAATGAAACTTTAGCTGAGTTCAAATCTCATGGTAATTTTCCCCAGTATTGTCATGCAGATTATTTAAAAAGCATAGGGAACGAGATAGAAACAGGCAGCATACCATACGCCATGGAATGTAACAGAAGTGTTGCGACACTGCCTTCTGAGACTAATCTTTCAGAAAGGATCAGAACCATGCCTCCAGAGCTTAACCCAGATCAATGATCCAGAAGGAGATCATAATTGATGAGTAGTTCATAAAAACCATTGGGGTTGAAATTCTCCACCTATTTCTTGACACAAGTCATCTACCAGAATGACTAAGGCATTTTCCTTCCCCAAAACAAGTCATAAAATGGTTTGGAACAGATCTAAATCATGCTTCCCCAGCCTGGTATACCCTAGATGCTCTAGACTAGAACGTTTGACATGCCTGACCACTGGAAATGCTGGCTAGAACTGATAGGAATTGGAAGTCCAAAACATCTTGTAGGTACCATGTTAGGGAAGTATGATCTAAACAGTCATCCAACATTACCTGAAATGTTGCTAACTTCAAACACGTATCTTCAGTATTACATGCCCTTTGGTCCTGACTTTGGAACAAATTTGTTCAGTTCAATACAATCTTTTATTTCCATGTGTATTTTCAATATACAGGATGGGATAGAAATGTTTGAAATCAATCAATCAATCAATCAATCAATCAATGTAATAGTCTGACATTTTTCTTAATTGAATTCCTCCCAAAATGTTATGCCAAATACAGTATTAATCCCCCTCCTATACACAACCTATTGTGTTCCTTAAAAGTGGAGAAGGGATCTCATCTACCTAAAAGGGGGGCATTTAATTTTCTATTTGACAGTGAGTTTATCACTGGCTTCAGATTAGTACTAATCTGTTTTAACTGATTTAAATAGAATAATTTAAGAGGGCAAATAAACTATTAAAACAGTAATTGTGAAAAATACCAAAGCTGTTTATCCAAGGGTTGATGACACAACCAAGCCTGAGGACACTAAGAAATCTTCACATTTGTAAAAAAGCAGTGATCACTGATTATTTGCAATTAGTCTATCAAGTCTAATCCTTAATTTAGAAATCTTCCTCAGCAAACTGTATTTAGGAACTCTGCATTTCCTATGTTGACATGTCTGTTGTGCTTTCCTTAGCCAAAAGCATGCTGTTTCCATGCACAGGCCCACCATCCGCCTAAAATTAATCTGAATGAAGGGAGCAAGCCCATCTTTGCCAGGAGCCTCCCGATGGGCCATGAGAACCAAGCACCACTCCAACCATGAAAAAGGAAGGTAGGTTGTCTTCACCAAGACAACACCTTTGGTTAGAAGCCCCTTAGGTGTACCCATCGAATGCTCTCTTGGCATAGATATCCCACTGCTGTTTTCCAGGTGAAGGCTAAAGAGGACCTTCTGGGGATGTGCTTGTGGATGATCATTTCCCAGCATTTTTCAATTGCTCTTGTTCTTCCAAAATATCCCCAAAATTTGCTTGAAATGATGCCAGCCCTAGAGAAGGTACCATTATTTCCTTCTCACTAGAGTCTCCATATAAAGACTTCCATCTATAGGGAAGGGATGTGAAAACTTCACACACACACTCCAAAGCCCATAAGCAGAAAGTGCTACACATCTTACGGTTGCCACAAAATACCCAGAGTCAAGATTGCACTGTAAGGAACACAGTTAGGCATGACTGATTTATTACACCAGTTTTAGCTCAACTGATTTTCTTGTGGCTAATGTTAACTAAAGCTAGTCCATTTACAAATACTGATTTATCTGCTTATTAACACCTTGCTTTACATGTCCAGGCTCAAAGAGCAGATAAATGTTTAAAAGAGTCAGTATGGGGTGGTGGTTAGAGTGTTGGACTGGGGATATCTGGGTTCTAGTCCCCTCTTGGCCATTAACTCACTGAGTAACCTTGAACTCACCTAACCTACCTCACAGGGTTGTTGTGAGGATAAAATGGATAAAAGGAAGGCTATTCAAGGAGCTTTGGGTTTCTTGTAGGCGGAAAAAACATCAAGACATGCATTTAATAAGTAGGTATGTAAAAGATATCTCAATCTGGGCCAAATCAGTTGTGTTCTTTTTAACATGAGAGTGTCCAAATCATAACAGGGAGTATCTATTTTAGTCAGCCGTGCCTGCATTGCCAAAAATTCTGCATTGTATTAAAAAATGGATGCCTTTTATTGTTACATGTTGCTTTGGTAGGACTCCTGCCATGAAAAGCAGCAAAGAAGTAATGTAAATAATAACTGCTATTCAAGCAACTAGGAAAAAAATCAACTGACAAAACTTTTCTTGCATTGCACCAGTTTAGACTACATGAGCTTGACTGTATGTGACAAAAATAGAACAATCCTGCATGTAGAAAATTAGCAACTTTTATTCCTGGCATGACAGTATTCTAAGTCGATGAGATTGCTTTTTCTCTCTCTGTTTTAGCATGGAAATGTTCAAACATACAGTTCTGTCACATACAGTGAAGTGTCTAAATATAGGTGGAAAAGGTCTTTTGTTCTGAGAGAAGGATTAAAAATAATTTCCAAATTCCCATAAAATACAGAATATTATTGAGGACAAAACAGTCCCTCTTGCTTGTTGTCTGTCTATGAGAGCCAGGCAAGCAATTTCACATCAAAAAAGACTATTGTAGGCACATAGTAACAATAAAGAGCGAGCCTGTCATACATCGTGAATTTATGTATTAGCATTTCGCAATATTAGTAGCAAAAATGTCATAGTAGGAAACATTCAATTACTTTTATACATGATTATTCTGACCTACACTTCTGGTGTCAAAACATCTGCCTCCAGGCTTATCTTTACACATTCTGACCTTCCTGGCAGAGGTTTACATTTTCAACTCTTGTGTCTCTCATAGAACTCTAAACTGACCCTTGCTGTTTAGTCCTAGAATATATTTATATTCTTCAATTTGATCAAAGTCTGAATGTAAAAGTCATTTTTCTCTTTCAATACTCATCTAGAGATGAACAAATCTGTCAATTCTAGTCCTGCAGTTTCTCATTTTTAAAAAACTTACATTCATCTTATTGCAGTTCTATTTGGTTAGTGATTTAAAAAAAACTACATGAAAATAGATTACTGCACCATCACAGGTGGAATTGTGCATCCACTCTCCCTGGCTTAGTTCTCAAACCTAAAAGGAAGCCACCACATCAGGTAACCATCTGTTATTTAATGGTATTTTCAGCTTAGTTGGGTTTGATGAGGTTATTCCTAGGGGATGCTCTTGTTGTCAAGCAAATCAGCTCTATTGCCACACAGCAACTTTGCCCCTTAGGCAAGGCTTATCATTTCCTCCATACCTCCACATTCAGATACAAATTGATTCAGAAATTTTAAAGCTTGAAGGTTATTGCCTAGATGGGGCTTTCCTTTCCCGGATCTCCTCCCTTCTTTTGATACGGCCAGCTAGTTCCAGCTGTCAGAGTCTGGTAGAGCGGGTGTGCAGCCTTATTATTGCCTCAAAGCAGATGTCATGACTTTGCAGCAAAAAGGAAAATAACCACAAACTGTTCCCAGTCAGATTTTGAGCACAAATGCTTTGAATACTGTCTCTTATACCAGAATCTTGTATGTTTCCCACCGATGCTCATGAACAGAGTGATCTTTTAAGGGGTGGCCTGAAAAACATGGTGAAAAGCACTATCTTTTACAATGGAATGGAAAAATATCTGCAGCTCCAATATTTCAGTTTGCCCTATTTATATTTTTCAGGACAGACTCACAAATTTGTAACACACTGCTTTTGTCGACTAATTGAAATTGCTTTTGGTAAGTGTATGTTTCT